AAAATGTCTGAATGTAAGATATTTTCTAGAGAATGTTTTCCTGTCTTGTTTCTTCTATCCCTCCCTGCCTATGCTGAATACAACAATACCACTCCCGTGCAGTGCCTTGAAATAACATCGCAGTGTGCAGTCTTATAAAGTGCACGCTTTGCATGCGGAGCATTGGACAATGGTTAAAACTCCCATTCAGCCAGAGCTTCGGTAATGTACCGGTTCTTTGTTACAAACCCCCAACTTCATAATATGTCTAAATGTTAATAAAACCCTGCTTAATTTTATAACCTCACAGCTTGGCTTAGCTGCATTTGATATTAGAAAGTAGGGGGCTCAGTCCACTTCCCATATCCCAAAAATTAATGCAAATTGACACGCTTTTCGGTTGCAGTTCAGGGACTGAATATGTTTGCAGACTGCCCCACCAAGTTTGTACTGAGGTAAATGGAGAAGCTTGCATGGCTGCTTTTGTGTGCAGTACCTGTTCTGTGGACAAAGGGAGGACTTCAGTGTCTAGCAATGGCATAGCCAGAAGGGCCCACTTGGGTGGCTCCTAACTTTGGGTGGCTGGGCAAGAATAGGGGGTGGGAAAGAATAGGGGGCAGGGAGGAGCAAGACAGGAGGAATGAGAGGGAGTAAACCCCGCCCACTCTCCAGCCAGAGCGGTATAAGCCTCAGTGCACCATCCCCATTCCCTGCCCAGAACACCGGGGCAGAGTGAGGTAAGCCCCAAGGAGCGGGCTTGGATGCAAAGTGGCCTGTTTAGGCTGATGACTAGTGAATGTCAGTCTGGCACCTTTCACCAACTTAAACAGAATGCTCCCTGTGCTGAGATAGGACTTAAGTAAATCTAGCTCATCCAAGTCCAGCCTTACTCAAAAACTTTCAGTGATGGGGATTCCAAATCCTACCTTGGAAGGCAATTTTCTTCACTATCCTTATAGTTAGGTTATATATTAGTAAAACATTTCGCACTCTCCCTCGCTGCAGATGAAGCCCATTACTTCCTGTCCTGCATTCAGTGGACACAGAGAACAATTGATCACAGGCCTCTTTGTAAGAGCCCTTAACATATTTGAAGATTGTGATCAGGTCTCCCCCTTAGCCTTCTCTTTTCAAGATTAAATCTGCCCAGTTGATTTTTTTTTTAACCTTTACTTCTAGGTCAGGTTTTCTAAAACTTTTATCATTCATGTTATTCTCCTCTGAAATCTTTGCAGTTCGTCCACCTCTTTTCTGAAGTGAGGCACCCAGAATTAGACAAAGAACTCCTGCTGACACCACATGGGTGTCTAGTGGCACAGGACAATTACCTGCCATATCTTAACATACACCTTGAATGATCTTAGACTTTTTTACAATTGTACCACATTGTTGACTCATGTATAATTTGTGATCCACTATAATCTCAGACCCCTTTTTAACAGTAGTACCGCATAGCACTAGTTGTGTGTTCCCCATTTTTTAGGTATGTGATTTTTCTTCTCAAATGAAGTACTTTGCACGTGTCTTCACTGATTTCTTCTTTTTGATTTCAGAACAAATTCCCAATTTGTCAAAGTTGTTTTGAATTCTAACACTGCCCACCAAAGTGCTTGCATCCTAGCCCATCTGGTGCCAATCCTTAAATTTTATAAGCATAACTCATCACCTCATTATCCATCTCATTAATGAGAACCGTGAATAGTATCAGACCCAAGACTGACCCTTATGGGACATCCCAGTGATATGTCCTCCCAGTTCAACAGAGAGCTATTGGTGATTATTTTTTTACATTAAAAAATAAAGAATTCTGAGCACTTTCCTTTTCGTTTTTGCTGAGCATTTGCCGACTGGTTTACAAATCCCCCAAATGAGCAAACGAAAACCCTCCAAAAATAATTTGAAAACACGTCTGAATTCTGGGCTGATAACTCACTTATTTGCCATCTTTATTTCCTGGTATAACATTTTGGTAAGCATGAAGACTCAAGAAAAACGTTTTGCCTTCCTTTAATATTAGGGCCAGTTTCATGCCTACCGTATGCATGGTATGTCTTTAATAAAGCCACATGTAGTACTGTTGTAAAGACAACTTTGTGACCCAGTGTAACCTTCTTTGCTGTAACTAGTTTAGCCCTCTCAATTTTGTAGACTAAAATGCAGAACCTATCTTTCACATCTAAATTGCCTTTTATCTTCAAGTGCTTTCTGGGATTTTTTTTCCCTCCCACACAAATGTCTTTGATCACAGAATAAAAAATGTCAATCAGAATTTTCATGTGTGGGTTCTTAAAGTTGGTCCTCTTAAAAAGGGCCTTATTTTAAGAGTTGCCAGAGCTCTCACAGTTTTTTAACTTCTGTAGAAGTTGAGGATACTCAGAACATTTATGGCAGTGCCCAAATAGGGATATTAGGGGTCTGAATTGGGTTCCCAAGTTTGGGAATACTAGCCACAGTGTATAGAATGCTAGTCACTGTTCTTTGCAGAATTATTTTCAGGATTCATGATTTCAGTCTCTTTCATACCATTTTATACACACACATAATCCATTAATAATACTAAAGGATAGGGAGCGTGATTGTGAACTCTTTGCCATTTCTGATAGGCATAACTACATTGAACTGAATAGTGTTACTTCTTGGTTTACTGTGGTATAAGCGAGATCAGAACTGAGCCCTGTATGTGTAGCTCTCAACAGTCATTGTGCTTAAAAAGCATAAAAACTGCCAAGTCCAGTTTTTATTGTCATGCATTCTATGAAACCAGAACCCCTCCTTGCCGTAAATGTGTTTTCATAGTCTCCAGAGTATGAAGAATTCTCCCCTACTGTCTGCATGCTCTGTTTAGCCTCTCCTGGGCTAATAGGCAATGACATCTTAAACTGTTACAAACCACACATTTTAAAGAGAAGTGACTGGCAGACATAGACTGCTAATAAACCATGAAATAGAACCTTGCCCCCACCCCCCGCCTTAACCACCGCCTCTTTCACGGAGAGAACCGGACTCCCCAGTGGGTTCTCAGGTTCAGCTCCAGGCACACTTGGAGTGACAGTCCAGGTACAAATCTGATGAGAATGATGGGCTCTAGTGTTTTCCTGATAGATCCTGTGTCAGTGTCTCCTTTCAAAGGCGATGGCCATGTTTTAAATGTTTACATTGTTAATGCTCCAAGAGCAGGTAATGTCAGGTTAAAACATGACCAATGTGCTCACAAGGCAGATAATGGTAGGTAATCTCTGTTCATACTGGATAGGAAAGAAAAGGAAATAGTTGGAGGCAAAGATGGGAGAGAAACTTGGATCTATAAAATAAAAGTGCATGACAGTAAGCCAAGAATCCCCTAGGATTCCCCCTGGTCTCATTATCGTAGTAAATCTGAAACATAATAGTGTTATTCTAGGATGAGTCGATAAGGATAGAATTCTCACAGTTTACTGTATGTTCAGCATTTGTATGGAAGATGCAAGACAATCAGATGGTAAGGGCTTCAGAAAACCTCATCCTTATCTGCATTACAGTGACCACCAGGCTAGGAGGCGGGGGTTATACTAAAGTATCACAGTTTTGAGACTGTGTAATTTCAAAAGAAGATGGTTCAGGATTTCTTTAGTTTTCTTTTTGAAATGAAGATACAAATTTGGAGGTGATCATGAAATTTGAGAGCAGAAAATGGGTATTGCATGCACAGATTAACCACACTTTTCAGTTATTTTTATATACTCACAGTTCTACATGTGGGTTGTTAATGTTGCATTTCCAAGGAGTTTAAAAGAATGGCTCATCTGCAAGATTTTTTTTCCACAAGTGCAAGAATGAAGAACAAATAATTTTCCTGCTATATTGCTGAGAGATTCAGAGATACTTAAATTGATGTAAATATAACATTAAGGACTGTTAGACATCCCTTTATGTCTTCTCTGCTAGGATAGATACAGTTGAGTATATTAATAGCTTTTGTTATGACTTTCATAGTTTTCTGAAACTAATAAAATATAATTAAAATAAAGGGGCACCTGGCTAATTTGTCTCCTAGCTGGCAAAATACATAAAATACTGGTTTATAAATCCCAGGTTTGAGGGGGCGTGGGTCAGTGGATTGGTTGAAGAGTTTGCTCCCTTGCAAACTCAGTCAAAAGCCCCAGTGTTGTTACCAGTGATAACGTTTTCTGAATAAAGACTGCAGGATCAGTCAGGCCCTTGATTGCTGTTCCATGTACTATGTTTGCCCTAATCTGAAAACAAGTAATACATCACACGATGTTTCAGGAGGAGAGAATGGAAACAATTCTGGTGCTCTGTATGTTTGTGTCTTTTTACATGTGAAAATACACCCAGAAAGGCAGAATGAATTTTACACCCGACCTAAGGTGAAAGACATCTGAGGTGTATTAACAGAGTAGTGGTAGCTTCTAACACAAAAATACAGCCATTTACCGAGGATTTTTTTTTTATTTTAATCCAGATTTTGGTGAAGGAAACATTCACCATAAGGCCCTGCTGATATCAGTGACTGTTTGCAGTATACTCCTGGTACTTGTCATCATATTCTGTTACTTCAGGTATGTCTGAAGTATTTAAGCTTTGTCTGCTTCACATTTCTTCTCAACATCACTTTTCCCCTCTCGCTTTTCAGCTGTAACATTTAAAAAAAGAACAGGAGGAAGTTGGGGAATGAT